CTAATTATCGGGACACGCTCCAAAGAATCAAAACCCTGACCTTCCCTGACAAAGATCAAATGTAATACCATGGGCCCAAGCCAAACTTGATACTCATTTTTTATATTGCTATTTTGTCTATTAAAAAACAAGTTTAAAGGTAAAATTAATAAAAAAACTAACAGACTAACAAATCTCTTCCTTTTTTTTTGTTTTAGCATAAATGCAAAGAAATTTTAGGCATCTCATAAAGAAGTTACCAGTTCAGCTTAAGCATACAAACAGAAGTTGCACCCATTCCCTCATGGATGGCCATTTATTTATCCTCCCCTTCCAACATGGAAGCAAATGCGCTCTCTCAACCCCCCAAAAAAAAGAATATTTTACATTTATAGTAGGAGTAATTTCTAAACTTATTTTACAAATTATCTGTATATTAGTTCTTTTTATAATTATTATATGCAAATAGGTACTGAAATGACCAGAAATTGGCCTTCACAAGTTGCCGAATTAACTCACCCAAGTCCTGAGATCACGAATATTGATTGAAACATCAGAATTTGAATTCTAAAGTTAGAAATAAGACAAAATATTACTATCTACTTTCTAAATCACTGGCTATTTTCACACCCATGTGAGCTACTTAAAAAAGCTAACTAATTTCAATGCGCATATGAGTTACCTAAACAAGCTAAGTATGCTAATGGCACGCCACGTAATTTCATGTCAATTTAGAAAAGTATTGATAGCTTCCTGAAAAGACGAGCAGATATCTTTGAAATTTAAACAAAGATTGAAATTTGCTTTTCATAAGCACAATGAAGTTTGATTTTCATAGACACCAGGAATTTTACAAAGAAATAATTTAAAAAAAATTTAAATTTTCCAAGATAGATATCAGATTATCACTATACAAAACTAGAACTTCGTTGCAATATCACACCATCGTAAGTCACAAAAATCTCAAGGATAGGATTGAGTCATTTTTTGAGAAATATGATTGATTCATTGAGATTTTCTTTTACCATATTTGTATGAAAATTATTTCACAAAAAGTTAATATATTTAGTATAAATATATTAAACTCCCAGAAACGTTCCAGTAAATTCCCAACAAAAAGGCCTTGTCATTAATATCCTGATAACAATATTTATTTTGTTTCTTTGGAGAAAAGTCCATCATCATCATCAGAGGTTTTTCCCGAACTATTTGAGTCGGATACACGAATCTTGGTCTCCCCATAACGTAGTTTCAGGATTCATGAAAACTTTTGGTAAAGTTTTACGTTGGCTGCCTACCTAACACAACCCACCTCCTTTACCCGGGCTTGGGACAGATTAAGGAAAAGCTTAAGGTTGTCACTCTTATTAGACCATTTTTCGAGAAAAATTGACTTTATAAACACACAGACACACACACACACACACCCACACCCACCCACACACACACACACATAAAAACATATGTGTGTGTGTATTATTAACATAGTTACATAAGGGCCCCCCAACTTTACATATTTCGATAATATTCCCAGCCAATAATATCATGACAAAAGTATTTAATAATAAGCCGCCTGCCCAAGTACCCAACTATATACAAATTGAAATGATTAGCATACATGGATACAAAGTTCAGTGAATTAACAAGGCTGATTAACATACATGGGAAACTGTTTGATGAGACAGTGGAGTTGGATGTACACAAACGGAAATAAGGTCATAAAAGTTTTAAATTATCTTATTCCTGTGATTTTGTAATCCCAATCACCTATTTGTACTTTGGTTCCGGTACCACGGATCAATTGGCGCCCATGCAAAAGAAAATGCTTCTTCCCATTTCTTTTTCTTTTTTTAACAACAGACCTACCATTTTCTCAATCACCAAAGTAGGAGTCAAAGATTCACAACATATGCAGTCATAAAGAGAACACCAGGTGGTCAAGTCAATGGGTTATATAAACTTCCATATCTGAATATGCAAGGCATTTGTAAAGCAATCCAGCTAAATTTGACTTGACTATGTAAATAAACTTTTTCCACCAAACTTTATATGAATAGTTTACGAAAATATGCAATGAATGGACCTCATCGCAATTGAGGTGAATCAGATGAAGGTGAAAAATGCTGCCTACATAGGAAGTGAAAGCAATGATTAGAAACTCAAGAGTAACACTAAGGGTTTAACCGAGCTGAGTTGGCTCAGGCCCTCAACGAGTTTTTAAATAGAATGTACTCAACTCAACCCAGTCTTATAGAACCTTCATTTTTTTTTTTCTATTATTGTCAGAAATTCATTTGCATCTTGCTGAAGCGCAGGACCAAGCCAAATCCTGAACACAACCAGTTTATGACAATGATGTTGATCGCACTTAACATGTACTTAAAGGAAATGGGGAACAATGCAACATAATAAGGCATATAAACCAGCTTTAGTCACTCTATGATCTTATGATCATCCAGGAAACAGTACAAGAAGTGTCATGAGGCTCAAGTAACACAAGGTAGGACATGATTCATGAACACAAAATACCACTGCAAGTAAAACTTCATGAGAAAGAGAGAGAGAGAGTATGATTCCAGACACAAGTATGAAGCATGTGAACCCATTGTTGATAATGGTTATTATGAATTAGGTTACTTCCTCCCCCCCCTCCCCACTCCGCTTTGTTTCTTTTTTTTTTTCCGGGTAGATCAGTGGAGATTGTAGGCCCCTACCCATTTTGGAAATAGCCAGTTTTTTTAATGCATTAGTGAAAATGGAGGCCATGACCTTCAACTAGGACATGGTGGTACTGTCACCACAACCCCAGCCCCCTTCCCAAGATTACTTTCCATTTTGCTCTGAGCATAAAAGGCTATAGCTAAGATTTACATCTTCATTGGCTTGTTCTATAGATAAATAGTGATATGAAGCATTTTTTTAGTTTCAACATGCAAGTTGTATGGTGGTGAGCAGATACCACACAACTTAAAACAAGGCAATTGATATGGGTATTTATTTGATGTTGTGATACCAATTGTAATCATGAACTGAAGTTCTAAAAGTAAACCTTGGCAAAGTACTAATATATTTGACCAAATTTTGGAAACATCTTCCATTATTTCCTAACCAAAGAACTCAAATACTTTCATCCCCACGGGAAACTCTAGTTCATATTTCTTTCTTCATAATAACACTTCCAATACTAGAGAGCTGGTCACAATCCAATGGAATCCGTCCAGTACTAGAGCTAAGGTAGAAAACATCTGCAGAATCATACCATACAACTAAATAAATTCAATGGAATCCGTCAAGTACTAGAGCTAAGGTCGAAAACATCTGCAGAATCATACCATACAACTAAATACTTATAATGGCTTAATTTCTGAAGATTTGAAGCAATAATGATTTTATTCACAGCCTAAATTCAGAATATGCATGCCAAAATATCTTGTGGATTTCCTTGAAACCATCAAAAATCAAACACATCAGCAATCCAGATAAAGCAAGAGATTTTTAATCAGGAGCTTACCATATGTAAGAATTGCCTATACCAAGAACATAATGAACCCCAATATAGGACTTTGACTAACTAATAATGATCATCCCTATAAACTGTAAGAATTTCCTATTGCATTTTACTGCCCGGACAGTCGTCATCATCATCATTAGAGCCTTTTCCCAATTACTTGGGGTCGGCTGTGCCGATTACTGCCCCGACAGTGTGATAATGAATACAGGAAGCCTCGAGTAATAATTGTTAAGCAACTGGAGTAGACATATTGCATAAACATAATTCAAAATAAAGCAGCAAAATTTGATATACAGTTCGTACAGGTCGCAAAGAAGATCAAATAATAGCTACAGATCAAACTGAAATCTTAATAATCGACCTAATTTGTCATAATGATTGACATCAATACTACAAACAGAAGGTTCCAAATGGAGATGGCCCACGACAATTTAACCCAGTAACATAAAACCACTTAAAAAAATGTGTATCCATGTGTAAATCACAGTCTAGTTTAAACATTAAAAATAAAAATAAAAATAAAAACCTAGGTCACTTTGCCTCATTTGTGGCCTCCAGAAAATAAATATGTCTAAATTAAAGACCAAGCAAAAGTAACAAGTATTTAAGCAAAATGAAAATGAATAGTGTTAATTCAAGAAACAATCTTCTATACAGAATACATCCATTCCAAGGTCATAACATTTACTTCACTCTATATCACTCAAATAACCATAGACTTTGAATTCCAGTAATACTAAAAATAGGCTAAAATCGGGTGGAAATAAATTGCAATTTCCATAAGTAGAAGGAAAAGAGAGGGTTTCAAACATTTTAAATTATAACAATATTAAAAAATAGGCACAAATGTCACAAGAATGGGTACACAGAGTTGACTTTTGCCCCCCATTCTGGATTTTTTAGTGGAACTAATCTTGCAGCATCATAAGGAATTCACATATTCAAGGTGTTATGAAAAGAAAGAAGGAAAAAGAACTAAAATTGCCTTTTGCACAAGTTTCAGATGAATTCGTTCAGACTGATAGATATAATAGAGATAGCGATGCAGAGAGAGAGGAAAAACTGCCAGGGAGGAAATGGAACATGAATGAACAAAAAGAAACATAACACATTCATAAGAATGGATTTCTACCGCTCAAGCTTCAGATGAATAAATGGGTGAGAGAGAGATGAAAGCTGAAGGAGTAGAAAATCATGACCACAAATGATTGCCAAGAATTCATATCACTCAAATTTCAGAAGTAGAGAGAGAGAAAATTTCAGAAGTAGAGAGAGAAACACAATGAGAGAGAGAAGGAGTGAATCACTGGGAGGAATAACTGAAAAGGAGACAACGGAATTTGAACGAACAAAACCGTGTACAGTTACTTGGATCACCGGAAACCCCTGATACCAGGAGAGAGAGAGAGAGAGAGAGAGAGAGTGAGGTCTCGGGAGCTGTAAAGGAGAAAGGAAGGGGAGACCCTAGAGAAAGAGAGCGTGTAGGTTTTAGAGAGAGAAAGAGAGTCACCTTTCATGGTGAGGCCTCGAGCCAAAAACGTCCCAAAACTCCTGAATCTGGCCAATGAGTTGCCTGAGCACGGCCAGGCTCTCCATTTCAGCTCAGCCTCCTTTTTCCCAGCCTCTTCCTCCTTCATTTGCCCCTCTCTCTCTCCTCTCTCTCTCTCTAAAAACTAAATTTCTCCACCATTTTCCTCACATCACACACTCTCTCTCTCTCTCTCTAACTGTATTTTTCCTCCTTTATAGTATGTTTTCCTCCCTTTCCTTCTCCCTAATGTTAACAATGGTCATTAATATTCCATTCTCAGAGTACGCCACTGCTTTTTACCGTAATTGCGAAAGTACACCCCAGGCTAATCAGCATTTCAGCGCCGCCGAAATACTGTAAGGGGTATTTTAGGTATTGTAAGGATGAAGGGTATTTTCGGAAACCAGCGGTAATTAGCCCCAGGTTTTTAGAAACTGTTAACTAAGCGTGTTAATTGCCTTGGGTTACTTTTTTTTGCGGTTAAAACGATACAAGAAAATGATTCTCGAATTTTTTACGTAAATGCCACTGGGTTCATGGGTTAATTCATACATACCACCGTGCTTATCTACGAAACACCCAAGCCATTGATAAAGCAACGCTTACCTACTCAAGAAAAACCATCATTTGTAGATATCTTGTGGAAATGCCCTTACCTTTTCATTCAA